TCGCAGCCCGATTCGTAACCACTACGCTACCAGAGCTGTTGTCATTAAGTACCATCTAGTTGGTTCTGACTCATAGTGACCCTGTATAGGATTTCCGAGGAGCGGCGGGTGAGCTTGAACCACCAACCTTATAGTTCAAACTGACTTTGCAGTCCAGCACATTAATCCACTGTGTCACACAAAGACTCAGGTATATGTATACATATATATCGATTGTGTGTGTCAATACTGGTGTAGGGCTGCAGGAGAATGAACTGGACCACAAGGTCGGTTTGAACAACAAGGTTGGTGATTCAAGCTCACCAGCCAAGTTCTTGGAAACACTTTACAGGGTCACTATGAGTCAGAATATATATATGCATATATATTTGTTGTTGTTGTTGTTGTTAAGTACCGTGGAGTCAGTTCCGGCTCATAATGACCCTGCACAGGGTTTCCGAGGCTATAAATCTTTACTGGAGCAGAACGCCTCATCTTTCTCCCACGGAACTGCTGGTAGTTTCGAACTGCCGACCTTGAGGTTAGCAGCCCAATTCGTAACCACTATGCTACCATAGCTCCTTTACCCTGTACAGGGTTGCTATGAGTCGGAACCACGGCACATAATATATATATATAGTAACCACACATGACTATCAAGTTATAAAACAGTTCTGTTATCCTAAAAAAATTTACCTGTGAGTCCCTCTCCAGTTACAACTGATGTTTTCTATTTGTCTTTTCCAGAATATCAGATAAATGGGTTCCTACAGAATGTAGCCTACTCCTACTGAGTCTGGTTGTTAGAATTTAATATAATACATTGAAGCACAGTGACTCTGTAGGATCCGTGCTGTACTGAGAACAACAGGGTCAGAATTTTCAGCCCACCAGCCACTCTGCAGGAGAAAGATGAAGCTTTCTGCTCCAACAAAGATTTGCAGCCTGGGAAATCCTATTCAGGGTTGCTATGAGTTGAAACAGACTTGAGGGCACTTAACAACATAACAACAACACTTAACGATTTCAGATTCATGGCTGTTATTGTGCATATCAGTGAATTCTTTTTAAAGAAATACACTTTATTTTTTTTTCCAGTGAAGTTTTTTTTTAAATCTTTTACTGTGAATTATGTGATCGTTTACATGGGAGAACATTAGTTTTACATTCATCCTATTGTATATTGCTTCATTGCCATGGTTACAATCCCCTCCATGCATCATCAACCAACCAAAGGGATCGTTCAGTTCTAGGTTCCAAGGGTGTCTAAGGGCCACAGTCTGGGGGTGGGGTGGGGGGAGGGTTCACCAGTCTTTATCAGACCAGTAAGTCTGGTCTTTTTTTTTTTTAGTTTTGTTTCACCTTTTTTCCCCCATTCTATCCAGATCTCCTACTACGATCCCTTTCAGAACAGTCAGTAGTGTTAGCTGGGTTATTTCCATTGTTGTTAGGTGGTGTCGAGTCTATTCCGACCCATAGCGACCCTGTATAGGGTTTCCAAGGAGCAGCTGATGAGCTTGATCCACTGACCTTGCAGTTCAAACAACTTTGCAGTCTGACGCATTAGCCTACAGCTCCACACCCGGACTCGTTAACTGAGTACCTTCTAATTATTCTGGTCTCAGAGTCCTAGAGGCTGAAATTCATACAGTCCATTAATCTTTTGAACTAATTGTCAACTTGCATCTTTGATTTTTTTTCACTCTTCTTTGCTCTGGACAGGGAGAGACCAATCGTTGCACCTTAGGTAATCCTTCCCAAGTTTTTAAGACTCCAGTTGCTCCTCAATAAAGTAAAATGTAGATTATGTTATGCCAATTGACCTCAGTGTCCCATGAGACTATGGTCTTAAGTCCCAGGTCCGGCAATTTATTCCCTCAAAGTGTTTGGTTATGACTAAGATGTTTTCACAATTTTACCTCCTGTATGCTTCTGGTGTGGCACTGCAGGTTGATGCACTGGGCTTCAAGGTCGGTTGAACTGCAAAGTCAGTGGTTCAAATTTACCAGCTGCTCCTCAGAAACCCTATACATGGTGACTATGCACCAACTTGACTGCACGTAATAACAACATGCCCTACAATATTCATGGATACACTTGTAGCACATATAAGTACATATGCAGAAATATCCTAGTAATTCTTGCAGGGTCCTGGGTGACGTATTCAGTTTGCACTGGACTACTGGATTCCTCCACCTTACCAAACACAATAAGGTGGAGGGTCAGAGAAAAAGAGGAAGACCTCCAACGAGATGGATTAGCCAAGTGGCAGCATCGATGGACTCAAGCGTGGCAATAGTGAGGTTGGCCCAGGATCGGGCAGTGTTTCGTTCTGCTGTGCATAAGGTCGCTGTGAGTCGGTACTAACTCAGTGGCACCTAACAACAACAACTGGATTCCTGGTGTGGCGCTGCAGGCTAATGCGCTGGACTGTAAAGTTGGTTTGAATCACAAGGTTGGCGGTTCAAAATCAGCTGCTTTTCAGAAACTTTATACAGGGACACTATGAGTTGGAACCAACCTGACGACACAACCACCACCACTAACCTAAAGGTTGGCGGTTCTAAACCAGCCGGATGCACCAGAAGAAAGGACTGACAATCTGCTTTCAAAAGGTCACATCCTTGAAAACTCCTGGAGCCAAGCTCTAGTCGTAACATGAGTCAGGGTTGGCTTGATAGCAATGGCTTGGTTTGGTTGAGGTAATCCTTAGAGGCAGCAGCATAGATTAACTGACAAGTCAGGAACTACTGGTAGAGTATCTGGGTAATCGTCTGTAAGTAAAATCAGGTAATGTATTCCTAACAGCCTCCAGTGTGGTGCCAGAGAAAGTCTCTTGACAGAAAACGTAGGCTCAAGTCCCTTGGTTCGTTTCAAAGATGTTCCAGCTGCTCACAGTCTCCTCACTTTATGATTACTGAACCTGCCAGGACCTTGACTCTTGTTACTCGTTTTCTTATTAGTGCTTTGACTTGAGGAAGGAAGCGATAGCTCCAGCTCCCTTTTCTTGGCGTCCCAGTTTTCATCCCGCTGATCTAGCGGCAGTCCCTGCTGTTGAGCCATGCAACGGTGGTCTCTGCACTCAGCCTCCGCCCTAGAAAAGGGAGAAGAGAAATGTTTCTTTACGCCGGGAGCAAAAGAGCCTTTCCTGACTTAAGAATCTGCCTTTCTTCCTGACTTCTGAACACAAGAGAGCAATTCAACAGCCCAGAGGCAAGTCCAAATGCACACTTAAAGAGGTCTTAGACACTAAAAAAACCAAAACATTGAAGTAGAAAAACTGGTGTGTCCCTGTTCTTGTTAAGTACTGTCGAGTCGATTTCTGACTCTTAGCAACTCTATATAGGGTTTCTAAGAAGAGGCTAAGGAGCTCTGGTAGCATAGCAGTTACGAATCAGGATGCCAACCTCAAGGTCAGCAGTTTGAAACTACCAGCTGTTTGGGAGAAAAATCAGGCTTTCTGCTCCCATAAAGATTTACAGCCTCAGAAACCCTGTGCAGGGTCAATACAAGTCAGAACCACCTCCACGGTACTTAACAACAACTGGAGTCTTGGTGCGGCGCTGTGGGTTAATGCCGTTTGGACTGCAATGCTGGTGGTATAAGCTCACTAGCCGCTCCTCCGAAACCTTACAGCATAGACTCCACGGCACTTCACAACACAACAAGAAGAGGCTGGTGTTTGTTAGCAGTCCAGTGCTTATCCTACAGCACCACCTAGTGAGATGTTAATAAAATCAAAGACAGGGAGTTGCTTAGCTGAAGAAGCACCGCTAATTCTTAAAGTGTTCACATCTGTAGAACAAGAAGATATTAGTGGATGTGGCAATGCAGGATAAGCACTAGACTGCAAGGTTGATTTGAAATGGAAGGTCAGTGGTTCAAACCCACCAGCCTCTCCTCGGAAACCCTATACCGGTTCACTATGAGTCATAATCAACTCAACAGCACTTAACATTTTCTTCACTTGTTCTTTAACTATTTTTCCTAATTATACAAGTGATGTTGCTCATTGTACTTAGAAGTTTAGAAGTACATAAACACGTAAGAAAATAAAAATCACTCACTATCATATATAGGTCGTCTCTCATACTTTGGACATATTGTCAGGAGAGAACAGTCACTGGAGAAGGATGTCATGCTGAGTAAGATGGAGGGTCGGAGAAAAAGAGGAAGACCCCAAACGAGATGGATCAGCCAGGTGGCATCATTGATGGCGTCAAGTGTGGCAGCAGTGGTGGGGTTAGCCCAGGATCAGACATTGTTTCGTTCTGCTGTGCATGGGGTCACTATGAGTCGGTTCCGACTCGATGGCACCTGACAACAACAACAATTGTATATAGGAGTCCTGGTGTGGTACTGTGGGTTAATGCGCCAGACTGCAAAGCCATTTGAACTGCAAGGTCGGAGGTTCAAGCTCACCAGCTGCTCCTTGGAAACCCTATACAGGGTCGCTATGGGTCAGAATTGATGGCACTTAACAACAACAACATCATATATACTTGAAAATGGATTAAAGAATAGATTTATAGTTGGATTGTTGTCTTCAGATCTAGCTAGACTCTATATGACGCAGTAGAAACAGGGTTTTCTCGTTTGTAATCCTTGCAGTAGTGCATCACCAGGTCTTTTCTCCCACTGAGTGGCTGGTGGATTCAAACTGTTAACCTTGCTGTTAGTGACAGAATGCTTAACCATTGAGGTACCAGGGCTCCTTATAGATGGTTGCATGGATGGAGGAATGGTTGGGTGGATGGCTGGATGGAAAGATAGATAGACAGATCATCGTACACACATGCACAATGGGAAGCGTTTTGTTCTGCTGTACATAAGGTTGCTATGAGCTGGTACCAACTCAATGTATATGTACAGTTTTGTATATATCTGAGGTCAGAGGTAAATGAGTAACTTGCCTAGAAACATTGGTAAAAGGTATTCAGCAGAGATACAATTTTAATCAATCTAAGGACAAATGGAATTTGAGAGGCACTGAATGAAACAGGCAAACCTAAATCCCAACTTGCTACCATGGAGTTAGTTCCTGCTCATGGAGACCACATGTATTACAGAGTAGAACTGCTCCATGGGGCTTTCTTGGCTGCAATCGTTACAGAAGCAGTTCGCCAGGACTTTCTTCTGTAGAGCTACTGGGTAGGTTTGAACTTTCAACCTTTAGCAGCCGATCACAAACTACTTGTGCCACTCACGCTCCTCAAAACAGGTAAAGCAAATAGTATTTTAAATACCAAGAATTATAAACAGTACAGCTCATTCAGAGGGCAGCAAACCTGCCTGTCTCTCACCTAGTACCATCTCCCCAATGAACTAGAAATGCCCCTTCAATCCTCAGGCTTCACAGCATTGTTTTTCTGCCCTATTCTTTTGATCTTTGTCACTTTTCTTCTGGTAAGCGTTATTTATAAATTAGCCCCTTGTTCCAGTGATGGGACATTT